GGAGAAGCGCGCGGCCGCGGGGCCGGAGGGGGCGCCGGGCGCCAGGGCGCCGCTCGCAGTCGTCTGCCTGGGTGAGTGGGCCGCGAGGGGCCGAGCGGGGTGGGAGGGCTTGGAGCCCGCACTGCGATGGCTTCCGCACCCGGGCAGCTTTGGGCTTCGGAGGAGGGAGCCTTCTACAACAGCAGAGCCCCGGGCCCGGAGCTGGGGGGACGAGAACGCTGGTCTTGGGTTCCTGGGGGAGGCTGGGGTCTTCCTGACGCTTTCCAGCCCGGCCTGTCTGAGCTGTGCTCTGGCTTCCAGAGCTGTGGACAAAGGCCTGGACTACTGCTCCCTGAAGAAGGAAGCGTTTCCTGCCTGGAGTCCTGGGCAGGCCTGGGAGCTAGCCAAAAGATGGGGACTCAGCATGGGGGCTCGAGGCGGGGCAGATGTGAAAACTCATTTTCCCATTGTGTCTTCCCAGACCCAGATGGTCATAGGTCGGTTCATCCCTGATGGAGGGTGGGAGTCTGTTTTGGGAAGGGCCAAGAACCCACTAGGACTGGAACCTGGGTTAGAAGGCTCCTTCCCTGACCAGGAATATTTTCTGTCTACCTTCCCAGAGCCCATTGCAGGAGGGGGGGGAAGGAAGGAGTTAAATCCCCAACCCACATGGCTCTTTATTTACCTTGATGAAGGAGGGAGGCCCTTAGAAGAGCTGGGTCATTAGGGGACACCCTATGATATCACTGTTGAGGGCCCAGGCTCTCTAAAACCACTGAGAGGACAAGCTGTGAAGGGTGTGAGGGCGCGCTTTCATTTTAAACTCTAACTCTCGTCTGGCCCCCAGGAATAGAGAAGGGTGAGTGTCCGGGAGAGGACTACTGCGCAGGCTATGTGAGCTAATCTAAGCAGTGGCATATATGCCCAGAGTTCCTGCTTCACAGGCTGCCGGTGGTCATGGTGGTCATGGTGGGTCCTGGTTGTTGTGTTTCCCAAGTGGACAGGGTAGAGGTGAGAGCTTCCTTGCTCAGGAGATGTCCCTGTCTGGGTCTAACAGAGCCAGAATGCCCTGGGGGTACAGATGGGGTGAATGCCCCTGTTTCTTCATCAAATGTAGAATCACTGCTCCTGAGATGAATGTCTCAATCAGGGAAGGGGCACCCTGGTTCCCAGGAAGTTTAGATTTCTTCTCACTTGGCCTAGACTCTGTCTCAGCCTGGAGCCATCTGAAGCAAGGGACGTTCCTGTTGAGGTGGACACTTACTGTGACAGTATCAGGAGGGCTCGCCTTTAGGACAGTGGGATGCAGGGAAGATGATGGTATTGTCACCCCAAATGTCCATCAAAGTAGGAAGTCTTTCAAGGTGGTAGGAGGCCACCTCCTAGGAATGAGCTTATGTGATGGGTAGCCTCAAGCCTCAGAGGAAACCACTGAATTCTGTGACACGGGTGTCATCATGACACAGGGTGACACAGTCGAGCTAGCACACTGCTGTCTCTGTCCCGAGACCCTCTGAGTTCCTTGCCTTTGCCTGTCCCAGAAGGAACAGCGGTGGGAAGGAGAGAGTCTCTGACAGTGACCTGGACCATGCCAAGTGAGATGAAGAGGGGCATCTTAATTTCAGCTGTGTTTTCCTGTGTTCACTCCTAGCCCAGACATGGACCCTGAATTCCAAGAGCTACTGTCCCCTACTGATACCTCTTTATGTCTTCCATAGTGAACCTCTTTCTCACTGGGAGGCTCAGCAGTGCAGTTCCCGCCTTAGGTGAGTAAGCCTTTCTTCTACCTGCCCTGGGTTAGCAACCTCTGAGGATGTCTGTACCCCATGGCCAAAGTTGGGAAACCTTTACCAGTGTGTTTTCACAGCACCACAAAGGAGCTGTTGGTCTTGAGCAAGTTTAAAGTTAGTGACATTGATTTTTGGTAAGATAGGTGAACTGCCAGACTACCTCAAACCTGGCCCCAAGATGCTCAGAAGAGATCTGAGACTTGGTATCACTGCAAACTGGCAAAAGCCCTGTACAGCTGATAGATTGTGCCTCTTGTGGGCTAAGGGGTTCCTTAGGGACACTGGATGCTCATGTATTAAAATAATGCCTAGAGGTAATATTAATGGTGCCATGGAGGTCAGTACCATTAAGGAAAAAAAATCAGATTTTTAAGACTGGTTTGATGGCACAGGCTTGTAATTCCAGACACTCAGAAGACTAAGGCAGAAAAGTTGATGTTATGGCCTACCTAAGGTTACAGAACGAGTTCAAGGAAAGCCTGGCTAAGTTTGTGAGACTCTGTCTAAAACATTTTTTTTTTTAAAGTGCTGGGGATATAGTTCAGTGGTGGAACACCTGCCTAGAATTCCTCAGTGAGGGCCTGGGGCATTCATAGCTCAGTGGTAGAGCCCCTGCCTAGAATCCTCCAGTGAGGGCCTGGGGCATGCATGGCTCAGTGGTAGAGCACTGCCTAGAAACCCCCAGTAAGGTTTGGGGGCATGGCCCAGTGGTAGAACTCCTGCCTAGAATACCCCAGTGAGGGGCTGGGGTGTGGCTCAGTGGTGGA